CGAAACGCATTTATAATGTATTATATATTGCGTATTTATAAGGACTCTTAATTCGTCGTTAATATATCATATTATGCCACGTACTCAGACAATAATTTATACCTGTAATATATTAATTGTGGTAAATTCGACAAGCGTCTGTTGCGCAGCGAACGAAAACCATGTGTGTTTGAATATAACTATAAAATATGTATCGCAGGGCGATAAATATAACGCCACAACGCTACCATTCCGATAAAAGTGGTAATCACTGATCACTTTTGAACCCGTTCTGTATATCATGTAGGCGTGTATCAGATCCGCATTTAGGGTCCGCCGCACGGTAACATGTGCTTAGTGTCGGTACTCAGCTATACGAATATACACTATATAAATCGTATTATTATTAAATTGGTATATAGGTATATAGGTATATTATATATCCATTTATTATATACTTGACAATCACGAGTCGTGTGAGAGCGTCCGAACGTAATTTTGGCCATATCGCAACCGGCTGTAAAATGTATTTTTATAGATGCGAATGACATTCATCCGAGAGGCGTGTTTCAATATTCAGTGTTTGGTTTTGCTTTAAGGAGAGTGCAAACGTCACGCGGACTGGTTCAAAACTATACATATTTTTATATTACTATATTCACTAACATGTTTTGGTGGTTGGCGGTCGGGCGACGTGTGTCTGTAATGTCTGTATAGACATAATAGTGTATATACAACGAACCGCCAAACCAACTGAATTCGAAAACTGTTGATAGCCTGTGCAGTTTAATGGTCTGATAAAAGACGAACGTCACGTTAGTTAAGTTATGAAACTCTGGTTACCGATGAGAAAATGTTGTGTCTCGATCGACCCTTTTTCACTTTCCTCTCTAACCCTAAACATGTTCACGCTAAACAAATAATTACACGATGCATAGATTATATATTTATACGATTCCTGCAAAAACAATATATATTTATACTAACTGGTTAACTATAGGAACACATTAACCAGTTTGAAATTACTGTTATTTTAAGATGACATAATTACTGTATTTTTCATAATAATATACAATATTTCAATTAGAAATTCGCTTAATATTTTTGAGATTTTATTAAAAATTATTAAACGACTTATTGAGAACTTTTATATACTTCAATAAGAAGAACCAAATTTGCATTTTATTTTTAATAACTATCGATGATAATTGTTTTCCGTTGTAGATACATTATAATATGTATTTTAATTTACTGATTGGCATTTATTTGTACTTGGTTTTTTTCATGGCATGTTCGTACCGTTACAACACGGAAAACGTTTGAAAATGTCAGACAGAAAAAGGAAACTGAGGAAAGGTCTATTTTATATAGACGTGGTTTAATATATATACACTATATAGCCTCTATATAATAAAAGTATATATTATATATTTTATTATGTATTTATATTTTGACAAAAATACCATTAAAATGGGTTCTTGCATACACACACATACTGGGTACACGTATTGTATTAACTCTGGAACAGTGTATTTTATTATAAAAAGATCAAATTACGATGCTAACATCTGTCGCGCGGAATAGGTATACACGCTGGTAAAGTTTTTCGGTTGTCGGTTTTAAGCCACCAACGCACGTTATTGTAAATGTAATATGCATATACATCGCACCTATCCACCTTTATATTATAAAGAATAACATATCTTGTGTACAGGTACAATAGAGTAGTACTTATACCTGCTGCGACCGAACAACCTTGTCCGCGACTGTTCTACATCCGTTATTATAAGAGATCTGGGCGACGTGCCATGTGAATTGGACACTATATATAAGCTCACAAATGATTTCCGAGACGGATAGAACATTACTATCTCGCATCTCTAGTGTGGCGGTATTGTATTATAAGTATAAGCATGGTTGTCGAGGACATTTCTTATATACATTATACGATATTGACGAAGAATGAAAGATCTGAGACGTGCGAGATGCTGTCCCGTATGACAGCGAAGGGTTATTAATAAGACCTTTCAACGGAAGTGCACGAGCGCGCCAAAGAGATTATTCGACCGTAGTAGATGTCGAACAGAGACACAGCCGGATGGGTAAACGTATCTGTAAAATGATTTTGCGAGTTTTTATAATGCAGCCTTGTAAGAATATTAACGTTAAAACATCCGAAAAAGATAAGTCTTTTTGTACAATTCCTGGCAGCCATCGGAGACACATTAATATTATGAATCATTATTATCGTATTATGTATATAGAACGTCCGCGCAGTCGTTTGCCTCGTGTCGTCAACGACCCTTCATTTGTATAATATCTTATTTATTGATTCTTCTTCTCCTCCAACAAGCTTACAAATCATTGTTTCTTCTATCTGGTTATTGTATTACCTATTATATGCGTAGGTTTTTCACTCTTTTTCGTTCTATTGAAAAAAAATACCTACATATATTATATATAATATCACCACGTATCTGTCCCCATGGGGACATTCGAACCAGCGGCTGTGAAACGGAAGAAACCTACACACACTCACACACACACGCTCCAATTTGCAACATAGGGCGCATACCACTTATATACACAAATACAATACGCAATACAATATATATTATTATATATACCTATACGTAGATAACGCATTTATAAATCTTTTCTTTATATTTTTTTTCATCATCATTATTATTAATCTCTGAATAAAGTCTATTCACGTATTTTACTTCTTTATATATATATATATATATATATATATATGTATAATATATATGCGTATACAGTAGATCTCGTTCAATCTTTCAATGCGATTTATTTTGCTAGGTTCCTATACCCATGACAACTAACCAACACAACACAAGCGTGTACGCTCTATATTATATTCCGGTAAAACCTGATTTAAGTGACCGGCGCGTCTTTGCTGGGTCACCCCGACCCCATTCAACTGTCAAATCGAAATTTTAAGCGTGTCCTCTACACACGAGGAACCCTAAATCCATCCCAGAGGTGTGTTCCGCCGCCACTGGTGCATATTATTATTTACATTATGTATATGTACTTACGACAAATGCGATTCTTTTGGACGACCGGACAAAGTTTCCCACAACTACCAAGTACATTTTGCCGCACCCGTTGGCAAACAATTCGCTGCGCACACACGTCCGACACCCTTTGTAAAGACTTTCTAGGAAATGTAAATGTTAATGCATTTATACCTATGCATACAACAATAACGAGTGTGTAAAAGATTGTTAGCATCGTCGATTACCGGTTTTCCTATCGGAAATCGGCCGCCAAACATTTATTTACTTTCTTCTTACCATCAATAGGTACCCCACACCTATTTCGTATACAGTTTAAAGGTTAAAAAAACGAATACAAAATACTGACGGTTGTTTCTTTTATTATTATTTTCATTGCTAAACTGTTAGCCAAAATAAATCGCTCCACGAATTCTGGTTAAACATAAGGGTCTCTTTCTTGCGTAGTAGGTACATTAATTTTTTTCCACATTATACTATATACATATAATAATATAAATTCTCTAAAAGAATTTCAATAACTTCCGGAAGATTATTATTATTACTCTCTACTTGTGTTCTTATCACTAAATCTCATTAAAATACATTTGCTCCACATAATTTATACAATATATAATATTATACATTATTATATTTTAAAGCTTCTTGAAATTATTTTTATTAATTTCATAAAAATCTTCGATAAATATTTTAATTTATTTTATCTTTTTTTGCGTATATAAATTCAATAAGTATAATATAATTATGAGCTCTATATTTTAATTTATGTATATAGTGTAAGTTTACAGCATTAGATGTAATAAATAATAAATTTCGGCTAACACACAAAAAATATATATGTATGACTAACGAGAGTTTTTAAGATAAATTATTTTTAGAAACGCATTTCTTTCGATATTTTATTTCTATCTAATGATCCATTACACTTTATACATAACTATATGAGTATAGTTTCTGGATAAAAAGTGTAATCGTAGAAATAATCGTATTACTCACATGACCAAGAATGAAATTGTTATACAGAAAATAGAAGAATTATTTCGGATGAAAATGTTGTTATATATTACATTAATATATGTACATTATACATATTAGTTCAAATATATTTTGGATTATGTACAAACAGTGTATTTTATTCATTATATAAATCCTAGGGTTGTGCGTAAGCTATGAAGGGATATTGTTTTACCATTTTATTGTATCAGCAAAAGTCTAAAAATAATTAAGCGAACATTTTGTATGCAACCAATTCGTATACTCAATTTAAAGTAACAAAATTACAGAGCTAGTTTTTTTTCCATACTTCCAATTCATTATTTTTTTAAAATGCCTTTCAGAAAATGTAAGTATACTGTATAATTTTTAAAGTTCTGTTAATATGTATTTGTACAATTCGTCGTCAATTGTGCGAAAAGCTAACACGAATCTACCTTCGGTATACGTATATTATAGAATAGATTATACTATATAATATTTTTGATATGGTACCTATTTATGAAGGACATACGTATAATAAATGATATAATATATTTTATACTATAATCGGAACAGTTTAAAATATATTGTGCGTGTACAATAAACTAAATGGTAATCTATTTAACCTGTTATAGTATTTTTTAATTAAAAATTGATTCATAAATATAACTATATATTTTAATTTTATAAAATTAAATTTTTATGTCATAAAAAAAAGTAATTTTTTTATTATAAATTATTTTATTAGCACCCGTAGATTTAATTTATTGTACAAAACAAATATTACGTTATTTTATAAGTATTAATGCATCAAAAAGTTATTAAACTATAATTTTGAGCCACCCTATAAAATATGAAACTTACGTGTTACGAGTTTAATTTTTTGGTGATTTCACAGCTGTCGCATGGTCACAAAAAATATGGATATCCGGCAAAAATGTAATTATAAAAAAAATGCAAAGAAACAGTATTCAAAAAATATACTATATTAAAAAAAAGTATTCCTACAATATTAATATTAAATAATTTATTTGAATGACATTTTAAAAATATAACGAGCGACAATTATTATAGTTTTGTTAACGTATGCGTTTTCAGTATGGTCGTGGTCGCTTATGTAAATGTATCATTCGACCGCTAATGTTTTTTACGATATGGCTGCCAGCATACGCATCACTATAAGCCTTGCACGTTCTGTATGCAATGCAGAGCAAGGGTGATTTGAGCTCGGACCCGGGCCCCTTTGTCCCGGAGCTCATCCGCCCGTTCCTTGAGTAACTTGGTTCGAATCTGGACATGCGCCAGTGTCTCGTCTTTAGTGTACTCAACATAATAACCCAGGCCCACGCATACCAAGAACGTCCGGACGTCTGCGTTTGCTTGCATGAAGAAGTCGCATCCCACGTTGACACGAGTCTTCAACGGCTTGCCGACTGGGAGATCGTACTCTAGCCGGCTCATTGTCTCCACGGTGTTGCGCACTTCTTCCAGTTCCGAAATTTGTTCATTGATCACATCCAGAGCTGTCGAAATCTGCTTTAGGCTGTCTTTAAGTACATCATTGATGAAAATTTCGAACTTGGCTACCTTGTCCTCAACCGATTCCGTTTTCGAACACGATGACGACGACGACGACATCTTTTTATTTTTCACCTAAAACGCATTTAATTAAATAGTTAAATTAATATGATAAAGATGTATGATGTTGTTGTACTTATTTTTGAACGACTAAAAGCCAGGGAATCAACTATAAATTCCTCAAGATTGTAAAAAACCCATCCTACAGAAAAAAAAGAATAATGCAGAGAGGTTAATATATTATTTAATAAATAAATATGCAGGAGATTGAAGTCCTCATGAATTTTTCTTCTTCAAATCAAAGATAACCAATATATTAGTAATTGGTTATGCTAGCCGTTTATAACATATGATTTTTTTAATTTTTAAAGTATTAGTATAAAAATGTTTGCTAATATATAATATAAACTATTAATAAATCGAGTCTGCAGTCAATTACTTTAAAATAACTTTTATCACGCAGCTGTCTTGTGGCCTGTATGAATTTACTTTTATACATTGAACCCATATATTCACGATTTGAAATCAACGCAGTACAACCAATTAATCAGGAAAATATATTTAGGCGGTAATACCCATCCTGAACCCGTATTTCTATATCGAGAACGTGTATTCCGATTAGGACATGGATTATAGGTATACGCGAAAAGTAAGTTTGCGTAATGCGTTTTCGATGTTTTTTCTTTACCTAAAGTGTTATTCCTAAAATATAATAAAAAATAAGACTAACTTGAGGTCACGAGTTATTCAAGGGCGTTGAGTTTTTAATACAATAATTATATTATTGGAACTATGAAAAAATAGTTTATAATCACGTAACTTTAAATTCACATTGAATTCCTAACCTTTGAAGTTCAACTAATAAATTTAACATTTTTTTTTCATTTTATATTTTTTTTGGAAGCATATTATGCGCGTTATTAAAATTAATCAGTCATTAACAGTACTATTCAATAACATTTGTTTCTCTATGCTCGCTACTTAAATCGGGTTTTTGTGAAAAAGAAAATAATAAGTTACAACAAGAAGTTTATATGTATTTGTTTATTAAAAATTAAAAACAAGTAGGTATAGACAACTATAGTATGTTTATGTAGTCTGTGAATTTATTACAAAAAAAAGTGTTTATATTTTTACATAAATCCTTCCAAAAATTCTTCATATGTGTAATACCAATAAATAAATAAATAAATAAATATACAAATAAATCGCTCTATTAATGAAATAGTTTAAATTTTTTCAAATGTTTTCAAATTAAAAATTTAATGTTATAATATTAATATTATACATAATTTAATATTAATATCCAACATTCAACCTGATAGTATTATTATTATCATTTTAATAAACATGAGTAAAAATGTGGGTTAAATGAACAGTAAATCAAAAAATGTATTAAATTATATTTTAATTTTAGATGTTTTCTTCTATATTGATGCAAATTAATATTTGTAATAAACATTTTCATAATTTAAGCGAACATTAAATGGAACTTTCTACTTGTAGTTAATAACCAACTAAAAATCATAATATAGTTTAATTTAAATATAAATTATTTTGTTTTTTATTCAAATAATAAACAGCTTTAAAAGAAGCATACAATTTAAAAAATAAGTTTAAATATTTAATTGTATAAACCATGATAAGAATTCAATAATAAAAATAAAATATCTCAATGTTAACTTTCGAAATATTTTTTATAAAGCCAAAAAGCCTCGGGCTTTAATTTAAATAACACGATATGTGTCTATGTACCAAGTTTTTACTCATTAATTAAGTATTACTAATACAAATTTATAAATAAAATGCTTAGTTTCCAATCAACACAACTGTTATTAATAATAATTCAAGAATATAAAAAAATTATTTTCCATCTACATTACTTTTTTCTTAGAAATAAAAAATATATTTATTTTATAAACTATTAATGCTTATTACTTTTATTATTTCTACGTCACAATATATATAAATATATTAATATATATTAATAACCTCATTATTCGTTATTATACATATACATAATGAATAATGAAAAGTAGTATTGATATTTTATATTATGAGTTCCAAATATAGTACACGTTATGTAAAATATGATGACATTTATATGAAAATTGTACATTTTCTATGGCTTAGGTTGATAATTAGTATGTTATTAGTAATTTCGATATATTTACCTGTACAACTGCTTATCACATTTATTTTAATTTTAAGTACGGCAGAAATGAATAATAGTAATTTAATACCTACTTTGTATTAAAGATATTAAGCGATGCTAAAAATTTAAATACGTTAAATATTATTAAATAAGGATTTTATTTTACTTTGAAAATTCAACTTTTATATTTATCCTGATATTCAGACGTTGAATCAGGTATTGTTCGTTACCGTAATTAGTAAAAAAAAAACAATGGCTTATAGTTTTATACAATAACAAAATTTTAATTGCCTGTACGTGATAATAGTATACTTATAGTATAAAGGTTCATGAACACTATGCATCATTATACTTACATAATAATTTTAAATTATTATGGCAATAACTTAAAAAGAAAAATAATCCAGAACTGTTAAAAAAAAACCATTTAATAATTTCAAAAGAAATACTATATAATATATTACATTAAAAAAGAATGAAATATTATTTTCGTTGAGATACAAATATAATTATTAATAAAAATTCCATTCCATTATACTATTACATTATTTAATGAAGAATAATAGTTGAGTTTAAAAAATATTGAGCGAATTTTCAGAACTCATTTTTATTTTTAACAAACTTTATAAATAGGTATATAGATAAAAACAAATACTTAAAATCTATTGTACTAATATACAATATTTTTAATAAGTAAATAAAAGTCGACTTAAGTATATGACAAAGGCAATTCAATTAATTCCACGAACATGCAAATTGGGATTTATATACACTTTATAGTAATATATTTAAATATCCAAGTATCATTTTTTTTTTTTTTATACTTTAGACAACATAATATATTTACACTAAATGGTATAAAACGAGTTTATACTTAAAGTTATGGAAATAATTTAATGAAAAGTTTTGGTTATTCCCGAACAATTATTAGCAGCAATTATAATACCGGATTACAACTGTAAATAATTACAAATTTACATTGTTTAAAATAGATAACTGTAAGCAATTTACAGCATTTCTGGTTTTATTTAAAAATAATTTCGAAGATGACCATTATTATAAAGTTATCAAAAAAAAAAAAAAAAAAATGTTGATAATTTCATTTTTTTCAAAATCACTAAAATATAGTACATTATATTTTTGTATGATAAATTTAAACATAATACACGCATTTTAAATTTTTTTTAAACTACATTGAAAATATTATAGATTAATATGTAATGTGCTCTTAAAAATGGATATGAAAAATGTGCATTTATACTAAATAAATTGTCTGTTTTAGGATATACGCCATATACGCACTTAAAATCATAATTAATTTATAAAATATGCGCATTGTATTAATGATATGTTTTCTCAACGACATTTACAGAATATATTATATTTACCAACAATATATTATTAAGTTTTTTGATGGTGAATTAAATTGCTTTTATTTTATTTTTATAATAGTACATTTTTATGAAAAATTATAGAATTATAGACAGTTTTCAAGTTAATCTAATCTGAAAAACGATAAATTATACGACTCTTAGTATATTATATCGAAAGAAATCGAAAGAAAGTTAGATAGGTTTAACAACAGTTATAATACTTATAATATCATTAAACAATATGCATGAGATTTAAGTACTTATCCTCAGAAACGCCTTTGCAATAAAATTTTAAATAATACTGAATAGAAATAGGTACCTCCGTACATATTTAACTTTTTAAATGCGTTGTTTCAGAACTTACAATATGCTATGTATTGTATGTATTGTTATAAAATAGTACTAACTTCAGCATCGTTTTATTGCGAACTGTCTTGAGATCAATTTTTTTCCCTAAAATATAGAGTGCAGATATTTTCATTTTTCAATCGCCAATCACACCATTCACCATCATAAGTAATATGTACGTGTGCATGTTGACGTGTGTACTGTACACAGAGTACAGACTGAATGATAAAAACAACCACGACGATGACTTTGTCCTCAAGCAAGTCTCACAAACTTCCTAGTACCACTAACCTCACCCAATCATACTCTACCGCAACACCGCATGCAGCACACTTAATAAGGTTAGTTTAGTAGAACGTTTGTACCCTAAAAGCATAAAGCATATGTGCGTGTTTCAAGACTACGGTAGTAATATTGGAAAAATGAAAAAGAGAATACGTATACCAGAGAGAAAAACGTGTCCAATTATTGCCGGTTTCAGCGACGGCAGATCTCTCACCCGAATCCCGTGGTATAAAAATGCATATAGCTATATACATATGTTTTTTTTTTATATAAGTATGATACATTAAAAATAAAAAAATAAAAACATTACAATAACATAGCTTTAATTTTACACGTGTATACATATATATGGATATTAATTAATCATTATGAATTGATAATTAATAAATTGAACGTAAAAATAAATAAGAATAAAAAATGTACAGAGTAAACGAAATTTTTGCAGACTCAAATATATTTCAACGAACATTTTGGTTTGTTCATAGAAAAAACATTATTTTATTGGATTTTGTTAGAAGCTTTTATCTATCTATTTATATAAGATAAATACAACTAAAAACTGTTGTTTATGGATGATTTATTTGATTTGTTAGCAATAACACTTACAAAAAAATACAGAAATAAATTTTCCTATAAAAAATTACCCGTATTTAGTTTGTTTAATTTACTTATAGCGTATCATTTAACTCCGATTTTGATATTTTGTTAAGTAACTAGTAAGATTGATTTGTGTTTAAATTGTATTAAGACCATTATTTCACGTATTTTAGATTATATGGCATATAAACATAAGAGTAATTAATAATTATATATATATATATTTGTAGCATATTATTATATATATTTCATATAATCAACATATATGAGTATAACATATTAATTATTATATACTAATAAAATATTAGTTAATTCTT